CCTCAGTGGCTCCTTTCCAAAGCTGCTTATAGTTACATGACTGCTGAAGGAGGTGCAACAGTTTCTTGGTGAGGTGGGCATCAGCAAGGGAGTTGGTCTTGGGATTTACAATAGCCTCAATCATAACTGTAGTTCCATGGGCTGGACATGCCTCAAAAAGTACAGCCAAATTCAGGATGAGAACACTCACCTCAGACTCCACAGTTTCTTATTTTTGAAACATATTTTTCTTCCTCTGATTTTCCATTTTACTACAAACAGTTTACAGCAAAATCAATTTAATTGCCCAAATAAACTGTACTTTCAGTATACTGGGTCTGATCATTTACATAAAGTGCAATAAGAATAATTATTAGCCATCTAGAACTTTTCTTTCTTTTAAAACTGGCTTTGCTGGAACCTTTTATAAGGAATCTCAAGTTAGATTTAAAAGCCTCTCACGAGCCCAAGTTTCATCTGTGCCATTAGATACCTGTATACATTGGGTGAATTCCTCTTCTCTCAAGGTCCCAAAGCAAATTAGAATTCCCACAACTGTGAGAAAGTAACATTTTTTACTCACCACAGATCAAGAAATGTTATCAATGAGGTATCTGGCCAGTTTTTCCATTGGGTTATTTATTGGCCTTATAAAGTCAACCTTAATTCCTCAACACCTCTGAACCAGGTGACCTCTGGCCACCTCAAAAAATGTCATTCTAGTCAAAGCCTTGGTAAAATAACCATTATCTTGTATTTTGTCCTGTAGAAGAAAATAGATTTTTTTTTTTTTTTTTTTGGCAGTTTTGTCCGGGGCTGTGCTTGAACCCACCATACCAGCTTATGAGGCCAGTGACCTACTCCTTGAGCCACAGGCACCACCCAGAAAATAGATTCTTATTGAACTTATGTAAATAACTATACTGTCAGAAATTAAGACTACTTACAAATGGTTTCCAAATTCCAGAGAAGTCAAGGAGAAGGAAAAATAAATGTTTCAAATATTCTTTATAAGTACCTACATTGCTGAAAGCTGTAAATAGCTCAAAAGATGGAAAAGAATTTTCTTGACTTCTGGAAATCAGAATACAAAGAATCAGCAATGTTTTAAACAAAAAGTCATTAAAAAATTAGTTTAGTTCTGTGTAATTAATTTCTGTTCTGTTTTAGCTTTGTAATTAAAGTCATGGACGTGTGCTTTTAATCCTATAGTCTATGATCTCTAAAGTTATCAGAAATTTGTATTCAAAAGAATCCATTAACATTTCCATTACTTTCCTTGAAGGATAAATTTTGGACCTAAGCAATTACATAAAAACATTTTATGAGATGAATTAAAAAATTATTATTGATAACATACACTCAGACAGCATAATATTTGATAATATTAGAACATATGTATATATACAAACATAATCCACAGAAAATTAACCACCATTTCATAATTGACAATATTTTTCCCTAGTTTCAAAGAAATTTAATATAATTACACATTATATTAAGGAACAGGTGATACATTATCACTCGTTAGAAACTGATCATTCTGTATTAAAATAGATTTTAAAATTCAGTGTATTTCTTTATTACCACTGAGGAAATCTTAGCCCCTTCTGCCTAAAAACAATATATTTAAATTATTGTTGTATAGTCATTGCTTTCTGTTAATTCCTCAAATCATTTAGATAGTCCTATTTTCTTTTCTTTCTTTTTTTTTTTTTCCAGATAGAGTGTTCCTATGTCACCCTGGTAGAGTGCTGTGGCATTACAGCTCACAGCAAACTCCAACTCTTGGGCTTAAGCAATTCTCTTGCCTCAGTCTCCCAAGTAGATGGGACTACAGACCCCTGCCACAACGCCTAGATATTTTTTGGTTGTTATTGTCATCATTGTTTGGCAGGCCAGGGTGGATTTGAACCTGCCAGCTCCAGTGGATGTGGC